AGGTGGACTAAGAAGTGTGATGTGATTGGACGTTGCCAGGTGAGATCCTGAGGATGACCCACATTGCCAGGGGCCTGGACTCTGATGGAGCGCTGCTTTTGGACATTGTAGTGAACGGACACATCTTACAGCTGCCTTCACAAGCTGACATCAGCATCAAGGTACACGAACAAACACTATGAATCATTTATCTCTGTTGAATGTTTTAGATGCACTGAAACTCCACTGACTTCTTCAGTTGGAAGTGATTCCACAGACTGTGGCTGCCAGCATCACCATAACCACAACGTGAAACAGCAAATTTTATGAGAATTTTAAGTTGAATTATCATCGTTTAAACACAGATACTACAACAACAAGATGAATACACATATATTTTCTCTTTTCTTGTAGTTTAAATAGCACTTACCTTGTTTATCCTGTTTACTACAGACATGTTGGGTCACGTTTCTGTTACAGTTTTGCTTACTGTTTTCATTTTGATGCCCTGCAGAGTGTTTTTTCTACATTGCAAGCAGTTTCGGGTTTTTCAGAACAATATGGAAATCCATTTTCAGAGGCTTGAATAGTGATCAATGACAGTGAACACTTGCTTGTATAAGGTTTTTCAGCCAAAACTTTCCACCTGCAAATGAAATAATTAATCTGAACACTTTTTTTTCATCATGCTCTTTTATAAAAGCAATAAAAACACTGGAGAGTTCAGTGTTGTCATCACAGGACAGTGTCCGGTCTCTGTAAGTGGATTTTTCTGGACTGAAACCGACTAAAATTAAAGACCGTCTCACAGATAGTATCGCGATCAAACTGTGTTTTGGAAAAAGTCAGCAACAAAGTTCAAGATAATTACTGTAATTGGCCACCAGGTAATGTGTCGCTCCCTCACTGTGCTCCCTCAGGACTACACAGAGGATTACATCCAGACGGGTCCTGGGCAGCTGTACGCTCTGTCCACCCGAATGTTCAGCATCGACAAGGAGAGCGTGCCCTACTCCTGGAACCACACCATCTCCTACGACCTGTCCAGAGGGAAGATGCCTTACCTGGTGGAGATGCTGCAGGCCACAGCCATCAGTGCTCACTACAACCCACTGGAGGAGGTGTTGGAGTACAGCATCCAAGCTAGCATCACTAAGGGTGAATACAAACATGCTTAAACAGTGTTTAATTTTGTCACTCGTTTGATATGTCTTCCTCAAGTAAAAGCTTCCATTTTCTTTGCACTTAATTTCAATTTAAACTGGATGTGTTGGTGTGCCTCCAGGTGATCGCAGTAACCAGTGTCCTCATGGATTCACTCTGGTGTCTGCAGGCCCTTACTGTGCAGGTAACGCTGGTCACAGCACACTGGAGTGTTTACTTCTCAGTAAAGTGTGACTGTTTTGATTGTTTCCATGTCATTGTTTGTTTGTGTATCGTTCGTGTGCTGCAGATGAGAACGAATGTGAGGTTGGGAACCCCTGTTCTCACGCCTGCCACAACGCCATGGGCACCTACTACTGCTCCTGCCCCCGAGGCCTCACCATCTCAGCTGACGGCAGGACCTGTCAGGGTACAGAACACTCATGTTGTACTTTAGATTAAATGTCAGCATCACGATCACACAAATAACAGTTAATCCACTGCTCTCCTCTGTCTCAGACATTGATGAATGCTCACTGGGTGGGAACGTGTGCCACGATGGACAAGACTGCGAGAACACCATCGGCTCGTACAGATGCGTCATGCGCTGTGGCCGAGGCTTCAGGAGAACAGCTGATGGTCTCAGCTGCACAGGTACGCCAACAGGGTTTAGTGGGCATTTTGTTGTTGATTAATTTTATAAAATTTCTTTAAAGATGATGTACAACGTGTTCTTTGTTTGTCAGATGTGAACGAGTGTCAGGAGTCCAATCCATGTAATCAACACTGTTTGAATACCATCGGTAGTTACCGCTGTGCCTGTGAGCCAGGCTTCCAACTCAGGAACCGACGCTGTATCGGTGAGACAGCTGCGCTTCTTTGTTAATGTTCTACCCGTAACTGTCAACATCTGGAACTCCAAACACCAGATACGAGGTGTGTCAGAAAAGTCCCAGGACTGGTGTCACAGAAGATATAGTTCAACTCCAGACTACAAACTACCAGTTTTCCCTTCCAAGTAACCCTCCTGGAGTCTACCACCCTCCTCCAGCCTTCTCTTCACGCCGCCATGCACTCCTGGAAGGATTCTTCCAGGATCCTCTCAGCTCCGTCGTCACAGCCATCTTGATGTCGTCCACGTCTTCTAAACGGGTCTCCTTGATGACCCCCTTGAGCTTGGGGAAGAGGAAACAACCCCACAGAGCCAGGTGGGGTGAGTAGGGAGGTTGCTCCAGCACAGAGATGTTCTTCTCAGCCAGGAGCTGTGGGATGCTCAGGGCGCTGTGAGCAGGTTGTCATGGTGAAGCAGCCTCCACTGGTCCTGACACAACTCTGAACGAAGCAAACGCTGCAGGATCTGTGTAGACGTGCTGGTTGATCTTCTGAAGGGAAAACTGGTAGTTTGTAGTTTGGGTTTGAAATATATCTTTAGTGACACCAGTCCTGGAACTTCTCTGACACACCTCGTACACTATATTATGGAGTCATTTAGATCTTTTTTTTTCCTGGAAAAATTGTATTCAGATTTTATGTTGGATTTATTCTCTTTTCTCTTTGTTCACCTCAGATATAAATGAGTGCAGACAGAGGGTTTGTCGTTCGGATCAGCAGTGCAAAAACACACGGGGCGGTTACACCTGCATTGACCTGTGTCCCAGTGGAATGACCAAAGGTGGGAATGGAACATGTGTAGGTGAGTATCCAGCAACCTTAAAGGTCCCATATGGTTAAATCCAATTTCATATGTATTTTTAGTTTGTAATAAATTTGAAGGCGTAAAGTAAGTGGCAACAAAACACGTATTGTGATTGAAACACAGCACATTAGGACGACTTGTTAACCAGCAGTCACTTCAGAGCCGTTTACAAGCTGCTGCTCTGCACGTCTAATATGCTGATTATATAAATGCAGCATCGTCTGACAAACTCACCATGTTTCATATGGTGATCGTTTGAGAACATTAGAAGCAACAGACAGAGCTGGTTACACACTCATTCATGTCTGTATCAGCTCGTCTGTTTGTCCCTGTGGTGTTGATCACAGACACAGAGAGTCTTCTTCCTGAAGGGGGGCAGCAGCTTTAAAGCTACAGACGCTGAGATAGCCTGTGTAGAGCATCACGAGAACAAGAGGTTTTACAGTCGTGGTAAAATGAGCCATCTTTGCAGTATTTGGAGGTGAAAATTCTAAAATCAGGGAACATTTAAGACTTCAATTAATTTACTGAAAAAGGACACAATATGCAGCCTTCTAACGAGATAGTAGCACAGACGGAGAGATTTTAGTTTTACATGCTTAATTACTAAAGCTGGTTTCATAGTAGAGTGTTAATGGCCTGATCTGTCTTTTGTAGACATCGATGAGTGCAGAGACGGCACCCATCAGTGCCGATACAACCAGATCTGTGAGAACACCAGAGGCAGCTACCACTGCACCTGTCCACGAGGCTTCAGGTCTCAGGGAGTAGGACGGCCCTGTGTTGGTACGTACACCACTCGTGTCTTCCTCTCGCTGTTGGAGAGCTCTAATGTGTACTTCTCAATCACCAGAAACCATAAATACAGACATTCAAAGAGCCTCATTTCTAGTAATCAGACAGGTACCTGAGTCTGCTGTTGTGTCGTTCTGTGTAGTCTAAACATACAGTTTGTAAAGCAGTTCATAACTTTGAAGCATTTTTTTTCACTGCTCTTCTCTTACACTTCAGCTTGCTTGCTTCTACCTTCTCCTTGTTGTTAGTGACTCACCCCTGTTAAACAGCTGCTGCAGTCTGCATCGTATCGTATCAGAATGTCCTGCCGTTGCTTGCTTGCATTACTAAATGCTGCAATAAACACTGCTTCATAACTCTTTACGTTAAATGCAAACAGCCTCCTCTTTTTGCAGAGATGTACTGCATGGTATCAGATAGATTTAAACTCTGGGCTGATGCTACAGCTGCTCATCTACGCCGTTAGATAAATGTTAGAGAAAAGGTTAGGAGGGAAGGGAAACTGAAAGTAAATGGCTCCTCCTTTGGCACATTGACCATGAAAAGACCAGCACCGTCACCTCACACCTCCCTCTGTCACTCTGTTTCCTTTCAGTTCTGACTTTTCAGATGGTTTCCAACATCTTTATGTTTGGATCTGGCTATTTCCTGGTGTTGCTTTGTAATGGCATACATTCCTTATCCCTCCTTTGACATTAACACTGGACCACAATGTCTGTTTTCATCCAACACTGTGTGTAGTATGTGTCTGTCATGAATTGGGTTTTGTAGCTGATATGATTCATATCTGATATCATTTTTCAGATAAAATGTGAAATAGATTCAGAATTTTCTTCCAACTAGCATTTCTTTGATATGAGAGGCACCAATTCTCTCATTCAAATTACATATATGTGAATAGTTTCAATACATTTCTGTCTCAGGGACATGAAAATGTATTGTTCTGCAGTGGGGTAATTGACATATCCCCTTTTTTCCCCCTCATCCTCATCTTTCTCCTCTATTTTCATGCCCTGCACCTTCTCATTTGTTCCTAAATATCTTTTCTCTTTACTTGTGCATTACTTTTTGCACACTATCCCTCCTCCAACCTCCCTCTCTGTCATTTCCATCTTGTCCCGGTGCTGGTCTTTCTTTGTGCCGATGGCAGACATAAATGAGTGTGAGCGGCTTCCTCAGCCTTGCGCCCACCAGTGCATCAACACTCCCGGCAGCTTCAAGTGCACCTGCCCGCCGGGCCGCCACCTGCTGGGGGATGGCAAATCCTGCGCTGGGCTGGAGCGGCTGCCCAGCTATGAAAGTTACTCATACGGCTACCGTACGTCTCAGTCCTCCCCTGAGCGCAGCGCCAACCAGCGGCTCTACCACAACCTGGCCTCTCACAGCTACCACTCCTACGCAGCCACCACAAGGGGGCGCTACAGGAGCCGTAGCCGCAGAGACACTCGCACACACTCCTCACATCAGGGCCTCCTGGCTTGTCAGCAGGGCTTTGAGCCCAAGGGTGGCCGCTGCTTAGGTAACTATGGAGGGCAGGCAGGGCTGAGACGAGGGAGAGGAGCTGATTCACTGCTGCTTCAAGATTTGCTGTAAATAATATGGATATTTTTTGTGTTTTCTGGATGTTCTCTGTGTCATTACCGGCGGTCTGTGTTTCTGCGTGTCATACCAACAGACATTAATGAGTGTGAAGTGAGAGACGCCTGTCAGCATGAGTGCATGAACACACCAGGAAGCCACCGGTGTCTGTGTCCGGCCGGGTACCGCCTCATGGCCAACGGCAAGACGTGTCAAGGTGAGAACCTCAGACTGAAGCCCTGTACTACCACGGGAGTTAAATAAAGTGACAGTGAGGTATGTTGAGCGTAAAGCCAGAGCTGTCAGTGTCCCAAAGGTGGCTCTGTTTTAACCTGCTGGATCACCATGGTAACCTATGCTGCACAGCTAACCTGCTCTGGAGGAGGTTCAGAGGTTAGATTGAAATAAGCTGTAAGAACCCAATTTAAATCCA